AGCGTCATATACGAATCACCATACGGGAGCCCTAAGAGCATCTTTAGTAGATCCCTTAAAAGCCAACCCTTGGAAACACGTTTAAAGGGCCCTTTAAACCGTTTTTATGGTCCGAAACTGGGCCGAAAAGAACAGATACCATATTACGAACGGTATCTGGAACAATACAGCAAGCAACCGTGCCGGCCGCGCTCCCCTCGACCGCACGATGCCTCGGCCATGCCCACCCCCGGACGCCACTCTCCTCCGCCCGTCTAGCAGCGGCCATGCACGCCCCGGCCACGCCCGCCGCCGCCGCGCTCCACCCGGGCCATGCCCGCCCCGGCTGCGCCTCTCTCGCCCTTCTCCGATGCCGCCCCACATTGAGTTGGGTCGCCGACAGCCTGCTCCACCCCGCCGGTGGCCGGCCTCGCCTTGGCGGGGAAGGTCGAGCCGGCCACAATTTGGACCGGCAGCAACAAAATTCCGACATGCGGCGACGGATTACGGCGAGTTTCGTTTTGATTCTAGCCAGTTCCGCGGCAGTGCATCTGCTCCGACGAGGTTTGACCGTTTACGGGTTGAACTGTATATTGCCTTTCAATCTGTACATATGAGGTATGGAGTCTCGGTGCCCCTTAAAAACATTACGGGATCTGCTAGGGACCATTTTGTCGACCGAAATTGTAAATGCCTTAACCGCTTTTAAGGGGTCTACTAGAGATGCTCTAAGCAGTGTGCATCTGTAACTTGCACCGCATAACAGACTCAGAAAGATTCTAAAAAAACACTTGGAAAAAAATGACTCGGAACAAGAGGGGGAAAAACTTGCGTCGCAGAACAGGAGGAACGAAGAGAAAAAGCGGCTGCAAAATCGGCGGCAGTCTGCAGGTGGAAACCTACACTATCCACTAAACAGCTGCTCTGAATCTACCTTCTGAACATGGCAGAACATACAAAAATGAATGCATCAGACGTTTGGGACCAGACCGGCAAGCAAGAAGAGAACAGCAAGGTTGAGTGGAACGCCAGGGCGCACCGGCACTATAATCTGGTGTTCTAAATATCTATGATGAGCAAAAACTATCACAGGCAGCACAAGCGTGATCACAGGATAAGAACATTTCAGGTTAACAAGAATTAAGATTCAGGTTCACTTATTAATGTTCTCACAGGTGGCACAGGAATAAAGATTCTCAGTAACGGCACTAGATCAGCCGCTGCTGGTCGGGGGGGTTGTAATGATGGTCTTGGCGGTGAGTGCCTTACACAAAGATCTGCTTTGTAAGAGGGTCTTCTCATTACCTTGTAATGTTTCGCCGTGTACTATGATGTTTGCATTATGTATAAAGCAGGGTGTGAGCCTATTTTGAGAAAGCGTCCACGAATGTTTTGGGAGTTCGTTTTGATGGGCAGTGTTGATGCCCTAGTGCGGGAAAAGGAAACCTGCAATCTGCAGATTTCGCTGAACAGCGGCTTTATATAGACGATCTGAACATCGGCCAATACAACAATCACCCAACTTATTTAGTTTCAGATGAAATCACGCCGGTGTGCATCGCTAGACCTGCAAACAACAACACAGGCAAGTTCAGTGGCAGACTGGAAACGCCACGACCTGAACAACTATGATGATGTTCACGTATCAAGAAGAATTCAGGGTACACCTATTCATAAATTAGATGTTTGGAACTGACCAGCAAACGTGGAAATGCCAAATCTGAAGTTACGATCTTTGATAGCAAAAACGACCACAGGACCAACACAACACAGGTCATCAAATATCAAGAGGACTGAGGTCAACTTATTCATAACATAGACCAAGCATCTGCTCAAAGGCAGCACCAGATGTTCTCACAAATTGCACACGGATAAAGAGGTGCAGAAACGACACATGACACAAACTTCACGTAACAAAAGACGACGTTGACGAAAGAAGAGGCCACCAGGCTCGACAGACATGCGAACCAAATTTTCAGGAGCCCAAAGAAATTCGCTGTCCACCACGAAGACGGAGCACCAAGTGGAGTGTAGACTCCTTCTGAATGTTGTAATCAGCAAGGGTGCGTCCGTCATCGAGCTGTCCTTCCTTGTCTTGGGTATTCGCCTTCACGTTGTCAATGGTGTCCGACGATTCCACCTCCAAGGTGATGGTCTGGCAGGATGCACTCCTTGTCCCTGATCTTCGCTTTGACATTGTCAATCGTGTCAAAAGACTCAACCTCAAGGGTGATTGTCTTGCTGGTGAGGGTCTTCATGAAGATTTGCATAAGCCTCAGCACAAGGTAGAGTGTCGACTCCTTCTGGATGTTATATTCGGCCAGGGTCCGGCCATCTTCCAGTTGCTTGCCAACAAAGATGAGGCCCTGCTGGTCCGGCGGGACACCCTCCTTATCCTGGATCTTCGCCTTGCATTATCAATTGTGTCGGAGAACAGATCAAACATGATGATCTTGCCAGTGAGTGTCATCACAAAGAAATGCATATCAGCCCTGAGCCTGAGCACCAGGTGGAGGGTGGACTCCTTCTGTATATTGTAATCACCAAGTGTCCGACCATCCTCAAGCTGCTTGCGAGCAAAAATGAGGCGCTGCCGGTCCACCGGGATACCCTCCTTATCCTGGAATATCGCCTTCACATTGTCGACTGTGTCAGAGGACTCGACCTCAAGCGTGATGATCTTGCTGGTGAGTGTCTTCACGAAGATCTGCATCTGCATAAGTGGGAATTACAACAAAGCAGGATAAGTCACCAAGGAAGAGGCTTACATGAATAGTTAAACCGATTAGCAAAGCCACGAGACAAAGGGCACTAATGTAAATGATGTGATATGTATGCATAACTGAAAATTGCAAACGGAGCATTTTAGTTCAAGGGAGTAACAGATAGTAAATCCGCAGTTCAGAATTAACAAAAAAACAAATAACAACCGCATAGCAAAAGTGAAAAGGCAATAATCTCTGTTAGGATCTATTTCCAGTATAAATTAAGCAGATCTTTGCAAGAAGGGTCCATTATAAAGCCAGATCGTGGATTAATATCTGATGCCGCAATAAACAGCAGGCCCAGAACTAACCGGCCCAAATCTATTGAGCAGCCCTAGATCAAGATGGCAATGGGGCCCCGAAACCCTCGTCCCCGCGGGTTTTTACCTTATTAGGGGACGGGGATGGATGTATTTTCATCCTTGTGGGGCTATAGTTGGACATATTATACAACCCGACATATTTCGTGGGTTTGCACCCGTTTCGGCAGTCCCCGAACCCGAAACCCGGCAAACCCGGCAAAATACATTTTTTTTATCAAGCACTGATCCGGTGCGGCCCAAACCAAAGCTATCGAGCCTGAGCGACCGAGCCCCCACCCCCCAACGTTCGAAGGCCAAACCAAGAATTCTATTTTAAAACTTATGTAATTGCACATCTTGTTGAACCATGTGTGGCTTATCATCTTTCTTGCTGAAATCTGATCATTTTTGTTGCTGAAATGTGGTATCATGCTGCTGAAATACACTCTATATAGCTGTTGAACCATGTACTATTGTTTTTTGTTGAAATTTGCTCAAGTTATGATGCTGAAATGTGCTTGTTTTGCTGCTGAAATGTTATTTTTTGTCGCCACTATGTTTGTTTAAATATTTTGATTTTCTTGTGGGTTCCCCGTGGGTTCCCCGAAACCCGATGGGTTAAGAGGACGGGCAGAAAACTAACCCCGCGCATGACGATAGGGATGCGGACGGGTTTACGATTTTCTCGTAAGGATGGGTTTGGGAAGGCAAAAGCCGATGGGTTTCGTCCCCGTTGCCATCTTGAGCCCTAGATGAGCCCCCACAGGCATTTGATTGAAATCTACACGAGTATGATTGATCGAGATGCACTCGCTCGTCCTCAACAAAAACTCGATTATCTTTCAATCAATCTATCAGCATAGAAACAAAATCTTAGGTCGACACGGTAGAGCGATCGACACGAATCTCATTATCTAATCGCGTTGGCCGCATCAAGAAAAACACCTAAATCAATCTCACAACATGAACGAACAGGGAATCGGTGGCGCGCGCATACCTTGACGGACGGGACGGGTCGCGCGAGCTAATAATTAAAGATCGATCGCTGTGTTGCGGCGGCGGATTTTCTCGATCGGAATCAGCGGGCGAGTGGATTGGCTGCAAGGGGGTCGATGCCTGTGGGGAATTTATACATGGGATGGGAGAAAGGATACACCTGAACGTACCGGCAGGAGAGGCGGTTGCGGAGTCCGTCCCTACCACGACCACGAAGCAGTCTCGACGAAGTCTCCAACGAGAGAACTGCAGCTGCGAGGTGGTCTTTATCGATCCATGCTGGCCAATTAGGCCCAGACATAAAGCCCAACCTAAGCACTGTGCATGTGTAACCTGCATCGCAGAACAGGAGGAACAGAGAGAAGCGCGTCATCGACTCATCGTGAGAAGCTCTCTTGCGTAAGCGGGGTGAAATTTCAGAAGACTGCACGAACAACATCTCATCTCATGGTCACAACGTACTACAAAGTGCAGGACTTCGTGAGCAAACTAGATAAACCAGAGCGGGAACAGAGTGGGAAGTATCATCCTCTTATTGTTGAATCTCCACCGACAGATGACATGGACGTACGCATTATATGCGTGCAGCGTTATTACGTTCTTACTCCGTTCTAGGGACAGAGGAGGTGACCAGAGAGCGCGACGGACGCAGCTAGGACGAACGCCGGCCGCCGGCTTCATTGGAGCTTGCGTCTGCCGGCGGCGGCGTAGGCGTCGTTGGCCCACTTGATCACGAACCACAGCACGTCCACGACGACGTTGCCGTAGCCTCCGGTGCTACCGCGGCCTCTCAGTTCTACGCCGCCGGCGTACGGCGACGGAGCCTCGGCCGGCGGCTGCAGCCACGACGACGCCTCGAGGCCGCGGGACACCCGCTCCTCCTCTGGTATGACGCGGCCGGCGTGCGCCAGGGCGGCGGCGGCGCAGAGGACGAGCGCGGCGACCAGGACGGCGCGAGCCATCGGTTTCCCCTCCGACCGGCGCCTGGAAACTGTCGGTGGTCAGTCGATAGCTCGAGATCACACTGACTGAGACGGAGACGCGTTCGTAGATGCACAACGCGACTTGCTCGACCGGTTTATATACATTCGCCTCGACCCGACGAACGGCCGAAACTGCCGAAAGGATTAATGCGTGCGTGCGTTCCTGGCTCCGCATTGAACAGGGGACCGAACGCTCGAATAAACACGAACCGCAACACTAAAAAGAAACGCTCGAACAAACACAACCACGCATACATCGGTTTTGTTTCACTTCCCTTTTTCTCAGATGATGAATACGGTGGCAGCCTCCCTGGTTCCATTTTCTCACAATGAAACCAGCGTGATATGATATTACAGTTCCAGGATTCCAACCAAAAGCAGCCACCCGGTACTAGGCTGCATTGGGTGCGGCTACACGTTAATCGACTGGTTTTTTAGTTAGGCTTAGTCGACTGGTGTGGACCGTTGGATGAAGATCGTACGGCGTATGGACCTTCTTCTTCTTCCCAGACCATCAAACATGCCGCCGACCGAACCGCTGACCACCGCTGCCCGTGACCGCCTCACTGACCCCCCACCCCCTCCCCAGAACCATCCCCCACCATTGATCTAGCCGCCGCCCCCAGCCACCCCTCTAGCCCCGCCCGCGTTTGGATTTTTTTTCTCCGCCGAAGTGCACCACCGACCCCATCTTAAACCCTGAGATAGATAATGGGGTAGCCCACCGGCGAGCCCCTTCCTTCTCCTTCCTTCTCTCCGGCGAACTCCGACGAACTCTCAAAAATTGACTTGCCCCAATTAGAAAATCAGTCGACTGTCATTTAGCTAAACTGGGTTGTATTACACTCAGAAGTCGAAAAAAAGCTATAAACTGAAATGGTACACCGTACACAGATCAACACATGTACATTGGTGACATTTCCAACGGCACACAACCAACATAGGCAACAATCTACCTCCCGACCCCCTCCTACTCCTCTGTACCGCCCCACGAGGCTACTAGACGGGCCTCTCTCTCTCTAGCTCTCCCCTCATCCCGGCCTCCTCCCCCTGTCACCGCCTGGGCGCGCCGCCGGGCAAAGCCCGACTAGTGTGGGTGGCGGCTCCTCGCTCAGTAGTGGCGGCGCGTACTGCTGCTGGCCAACAGGGGCGCAGGGCTGGGCGTGGGGCTCGGCGGCAGGGCGGTTGCGTGTTCTTCCCTGGTGGGGGCGTGGGGCGTGCTAGCAGCAGTCGGGCCTTTAGACCGGGCAGCGCCTGGATCTAGATCCCAGCGGCGACAGGTGATGCGGGCTGCAGATGGTGCGAGCTGGCGGCTGTGGGTGGATCCGCTCGTGGGGGCTTGATCCCATGGGCTCGGGTGGCTATGAGCGGCCAGGGGTGGTGCACTGGCCGGTGACACGTCTGCAACGGCTTCAACGGCGGCGGTTGGTGCTTGGCGGTGCGGTGTGGGTGGAGGTAGCCCGTCCCTTCTCCTGGGTTTTGGTTAGCGGGGCTGTTGGGGATATAACTATCAGTTATGACCCGCCCAATAGGGGCCGGGTCAGCCCCAATTGCGGGTCACGAAGGAAGCCCAGTAAACACTCAAGGTGATAGTTTATTAAACCTTATAGAAGGCCTAAAGGCCCGGAGGTGGCCTAAAGCCCAATATTGTAAATCGTCGTATGTAAGGAAAGACTTGTAAGGAAAGGCATGTAAAAGAAGTCGCCGAGTCGGACACGTTTTATGAGACGGCCGGGACTCTGTAAGCCACCAGGCGTCAACCCGTGTATATAAGGGGACGACCCGGTGGTGCCTTAGGGCAAGAAACAAGAGATCGATAACCAAGCCGGCGAATTAGCCTCTTGGTGATCGAAATCCCAGCAATACCAACACAACTAGACGTAGGCTTTTACCTTCATCGTAAGGGGCCGAACTAGTATAAAACCTCTCGTGTCCTTTGTCCCGATTAACCCCTTTAAGCTTCCTAGTTGCGATGGCCCTGCGACTAAGTCCTTCTGCTAGGACATCTGCCGTGACAATTCCACGACACTTGGCGCCCACCGTGGGGCCAGCGCACGGTGGATTTGAGTTCTTGAAGGGCAACTTCAAAGGGCTCAAGGGATACGTTGTGGGCTGGATGACCAAGAGTCGTCGCGGCAAGCTCTACATCGACGACGAAGGCTGGGGCCCCGAGGCCAGCTCAATCGAGTACGGGTACCGGGTCCCCTTCGGCGGAATTCATGTCTTTGTCGGCCGGATCGGCGAGTCGGGCCCTGAGCCGGACGTCCACACCAACCTCGTCGAAACGGCTCAGCGCGCGAGGACCACCCGTGTTCAATCTGTCGTGAAGCATGTTTTCGTAGGCTGCGTCCACAGCGATGAATATTCTGAAGGATCGGTGGATGGCGGTGAGACGGCCGTCTGTTCTGACGATACATCATGAACAGGCGAGACAGACTCTTTGTATCAGCTGCAGGATGGCATGCTCGGGGGCTGTTCCGATGGCAGCAGTATTCCAGACCCCCTTGAGCCGCCGAATTGGGCCGGAGTCTTCATGGCAGGAACACAGCCCGGGCAGAACTCCACAGCAGCAGCGGCGACAACTACCGGGTCGGCCACAGCCGGGTCAGGAGACCCTATGCGCCCCACGGCTCAGATTCTAATGGGCCTCATGGATAAACTGACGAC